TTTTTTTTTTTTTTTTTTTTTTTTTTTTTTTCTCTGGCAAGTATTTTGGCCTGACATTAATTATCTCCTCCGTTGACAGCAAAATTATCCCAATTAATGTGGACATTTATGAAGCTGAATGAATCGTGTCTTCGTTCCAACCATCTTTTCTAATTAAAAAATGTAACTTCTTGTCATTTCCTCGACCTTCTTTTATTAAATCTGCCCCTTGAAACCATATTATATCTTAATATTAAAATTTTGATTATTTAGACTTCATATTATTCATTTATTATAATATTGATTTATTATTATAATATTATAATTGAAAGAAAAAAAAGAATTTCAAATAGGAATCTAGAATTTGCATTTTTTACAAATTTTTAATACAATTCTCTCATTCATCATTTTCCATTTTCGAAAAATAATACAATGATATTACTTTTACTTCCTCGAAGAAATAAATCTTGATGAAAATTCAACAAATCGTACATCTTTTTTTAAAGAAAAAAAAAAGAAAAAGGAAGATCCAACAATATATTATATCACTATTTCACTCGTAATATTTAACATTACATAAATTCAGTTGGATTTTGATCATGTGCAAATAGATACCAGATTTATCCGAATCCAGGATAATCCCATAGTGTGCATTCTGTGGATTCACACTCATGCCAAACTAGCAGTCACCTGGACCGACTGCACAATCTATGAGAGAGACCGGCGGAATTTCATTAGCATCGAACTGCTGCCATCCAACTGTCCAAGTCCGCCATTCGTACCGGCGTTTCTTCACAAATACCGGATTTGTCTACTGTCCTTATCGCCATATCCTGTATATTATCATATAATAACGCATCGATAATGGCGACGTTATCATTAACAACGTATGGAAGTGATGATATCAACGTATCAAGCGTATAGATGTAAAAATCAGATTTATTTTACGATTACGATTTTGTGAGAAATTTCGACAAATTTGATTAAAATTCAATCTATTTGAAATATAATTAATAATAAAATTATATGGATACTTGCGTGGAAGAAAATTTTAACGAATGATAGATCATTTAATTTCGATTTATCTATTTAATAATTAATCTAATTGAAATACGGAAGAATGAAATGAAAGAGATTTATCTAGAGATATTCATTTTCTATGAAATATTAGAACATGAAATGCAAATTTTCTTTTTTTTTGTTAAAATTTAAGAATATTAATCTGTGTAATTAATAATTTTGTTTCTTAAATGGAACTGCGTTAATACTCTTCGAGAATGTTTTAACAAAGTTGATCTTGGAGTGGATCCAGCAAATGCAAACTATAAATAAAAAAAATTTTTTAAATTTTCTTTCTCTTTGTCGGAAATATTATCAAGGGATAAAAAATAAAACTTGAAAGTATGAAACAGCTTTTCAAATAAATCCTATCTATCGCCTGGCATTCAAGCATGAATAGATTAAAAAAACTTTATTCGATCTACAAGAAAACGACTTGAGCCTGGTCGTAATTAACATAATGTGTAATCCGCTTTAGACGGTATGATCCGTCGATTCAAGCGTCTTATGAAAACAGCTCAAGCGATTTTGTAATGCATTGAAGGACTTGGAAGCTATATCAGCGAGAAAATACATGTTAACGAGAATATAATCTTGAGAGAAAAGGAATCGCACAATATTTTAAATATCTTTTAAAAATTTACTCCTCTTGAGTTTATCTAAAGAAGATGTATATTTTTTTAAAAAAACTAATATTATTTTTAATCAATTATAAGAATAAATATGTACATTTTGATTTATTATATAATATATGCAAAATGTGGAAATCATAAGAAAGAGCTTGATTTTAGAAAATCATTTTTCACAAGAAATTTTCATAATAAAGAAAGTCAATATTATATTATATACAATTAAACATTTGCAAGTAATCGTATATTAATTCTCTTTAAATAAAAAGAGTTTTGAATAAAGAAGAGGCTAATCCAGTTGAGACAAAGAGATTCTCAGAGAGGGAGCAGGAACAACCTTTGAAGAAAAGCGTAAAAAAATAAAAAAGAAAAAACAGGAAGGGATAAAGAGGTGTAAGGAAGAAAAATCCGGCGGAAAAAGAAACGTGGGTGTAAGAAAGGAGAAACAAGCCTCGAGTACAAAAGAGACAAGTGAAAGAAGCTGTGAGACTGAATGAAACGGTCAAGAGAAGGACGAAATAAAAGAGGAAGCGAATAAGAAAAAAATTCAACGTACGAGGATAAGGAAAAAAAAAAGAAAAAGAGAAAAGGGGAAAAAGAAATATACGCGAGCATGGAAAGAACTACGAAAATAAAGTAAAATGAGCAAAACGAACGACTGACGAGGAACCTTGAGAGAGGTTGAAGGACTCAAAGAGGAGAGTGTGGGTGGGTTGCTCCCGGGCCAATGTTCGCCAACGTCTCCCAGCCCATTCTGAAGTCTATTACGGATTCCGTGGAATTATGCCGATTAGCCGAGGTTCCCCGGAATTTACACCGGACTAGCGTTCAATGCTAGCCTCCGCGGCAAAATCTCATCTCGTGGAAATAATTAAAACCCATACCTACGCCGGCTCAGATCCCTCCAACACCAGTTTCTCATCCGACTACCTGTCGCTTCGGTCTTCGACGTCGTCCAAACGGCGAATAAGAGCCAAGATGGATTATAAGTGAGAGAGGGCGCCACGAGTTGAGTCGTGATCGCGAATCTTTAACCTGAATCGTAAAATAGATTAATCTGGATCGTGAATAAATAATTTGTAGTGTGGTTGTGAATTTTTGATTTAAATTATAAATAAATACTTGAATCGTGTGTAGACGACTGTAAAGGATTGTGAATCTTAAAATTAAATTGCATAATAAATACCTGAGATCGCGTTTCTAGTTTGATTGTAACTCTTGAATTAGGTTAGATTTATTTGAATAAGAGCTTGGATAATTTTCTTGTTATTTGACAATGAATGGTTGATTTAGAATAGATGTGAATAGTTTTAATGTCTAATCTGTGTGGTTGAGAAAAGAATTCGATAGTAGACAGTCTGAAAAATCTTTGGCAATCTGAATATTCCGAAGGGAATACGTCAGATTGCTTTATTTGTGACAGTCTCTTAAAGCGATGAAAAGTTTTTAAAGTTATGCAAAACTATGCGATTTGACGATCAGGATTCTGTGGTAAAGTCATTCGATGTGATTCTTGATGAGAAAGACATTTATATTACCGTAGAGAAATTTGATGGTTTCGATATCATTGAATGAAATAATTCTTAATCGGTTCGAATTTCAATTCAATTAATACGTATCGCAATATATTTGCTGAATATAATTCTTTTTTTAATAATAAACGTGATAATATAATATATCGAAGATAATAATAATTCGACGAAAAAGTAATGCGTAATAAGATAAACGATATATATTGATAAACGATACTCTCGGAAACAACGATATATATCGATACTTTTCAACTTCCTCTCGAATTGAAAATCGAATCGTTCTTAGTAGTCATCAATATGGCCGCCATTGATTAACGGAATTTTTGATCGTCTCGTGTTTAGTGCGATAACGAAATATATATTATGCAAATATGTTTGTTGTGCTCCGTCATCAAATTCGGGATTCTCTCGGAAGTGTGGGGCAGGCTCGGGCTACACAGTGCCGATAGCATTATTATATTATTCGGCTAATGTTATTGCTGTGTTATGCGTCGGCCAATTAATAATATGGCGGCCATGGACGAACGTTTCACACAGAGGCTCTCTCTTGCCTTCTCTTCATGCGGTATCAGGATGGAATCGACTTCGCGATAAAATTGATTAACGCAACACCAGTAGTGGCCAACCACACTTTATTGTTTTAAACAGATCACGCGAGGTGTACGTACTACATTGACATAGGTAAATGGAATAGAAACTGGTTCGAATGAAGTTCTACTAAAATGGCGGATAGAGTCAAACTTCGAGAATCACGATATTCGTTCGGTTAAAGTGCAAAAAACAATGGATGGAAAACACGATCATGGAATTGTTCGAACTTGTTAATTTTAGAAGAATACGAAAGAAGGCGAAGAATACGAATCTTGGAAGAATATCTGAAAAGAATACGACTACGAAAGGTATGTACTTAGAATAGATTTTATTATGATAAAAATCACGAGCATGAGCTTGTAATTAGATTGTGAATATTTTATGCAAAATTAAATTTATATAGATGATAGAAATGGAATTTAAATAGAGATTTAGTTTATTTCTCAAATGTAATATATTTGGATATTTCCTATTTTTATACATATCATGTAAATTCTATAGATTTTTATATATTTGCATAAATGCATGAATATTCGCAGTTTAATTATAATGGTTATATGATATACAATAGAAAGTTGATTATTCGAAGTTTGATTATTCAAATGATTAATCATCCGAACACAGGATGAATATGCATTCAAAATAAGGTAATAATATTTCAAAATATATAATCTAAAATAGTAAAAACAATTAATTCATTTTTTTTATTATTTTCTTTTTATTAACTATCTTTTATGTGTCTTTTATGTATATTTCCAAATCATAAAATTTCATTTCATCACAAATTTGGTTTTTGCTGATAAATTATCTGAATAAATTTCAATATTCTATAATAGTTTTATATCATTTATGCTAGATATGATATATATCATCATTTATTATTAAATGATTTACAGAAAATGAAATAGATCTAAAGGGATAATAGAAAAGTATAAATATATTTAAAAATTATTGTGTAATTAAAACTATCTCTTCATTTTTCAATTAGGTAGTGCTTTTTAAGTAATTTATATTATTAAGTTTTTATTATAGTTTGATCATATTATATTATGAATATGATTATTCCAAATATCATACTGTTAAATATCTAATCAAATTATTATACTAATTATCATATAAATTATTATACAATATAATAATACAATAGTAATATAATATAATAATACAATAATTAAAATATCTTTTCCATGTTGATTTTTTAATTATCATGAAATCATTGTTCTTTTGACATCTTCTATTCTGAAAATCCCAAAGTTCATTATATAAATTTTGGAAAAATTCCACATGAAATGTGTTCAAGAAAGTTTAAGTATATTTCTCGTCTTTCGGTTCATGATTTTCCGGTACTTACTTTTACAAATGTATTATTATATTCTATTTGGGGTGTAAAAAGTGGCAACATTCAATGATATAGCGATATGCAACGTTATTAAAAAATTTATATCGATTAAAAGGGATAAAAATCAAGAATAGGGAAACGAATATCATGAATTTGGCTCACGAGAGATTTCAATTTCGACTTGTAACAATGTTCTTTTACAATTCGTTTAAATTATTAGATATAATTATTGAATATCGAAAATTTGGAAAAAGAGAAATTCTTTTCGAATTTCGAAGAACTCGTCTCGATTCGTTTAATTATCGCATATCGAATAAAAAAAAAGGAAAAAATAGAAATTCTTATCAAATCTTAGAAATTCCTTGGATTAATTAAGTTTGAGTTAATTATTGGAAACTTAATTTGCAAAATTTTAATCAAAACCCTCCTTTCTTTTTTCGTACTGAAATTATTACAATACCATTTAACTATAATAGAATCTGCCCAGGATTACGTTTAACATTTCTCTCCTCTTTTTAAATTGTACTAAATCTTTTGAAACACCGTGAACGTTAAAGACCGTAACACGACACGCCCCTTAGTAAAGAGAACCGTAGGCTTATGGTGGTGAGCGGAAGTATTAAAAAAACTTTCCCTTTGTTACGAGGTAACGAGTTATAATGGTAGCCCGGAAAAGTTTCAGCTATTCGTTTCTATTCCACCTACTTTTTACGCTGGAGATGAGCCCATAACTCGGCTCAAACTTGTCGGTTGTTCACGGGCAATCATTATATGGACGCGAAATTATCAATGAAAAATAAAAAATTCACGATCTTCGTGACGAATGAACATGATTTAAACCGTTGTTTCG